TTAACTAGGCACCAGACAGGAAAGTGATGGCTCATTAAAATTAGAAAAATTAGAGAAAGGGTTTAGTAAAGAGACTAAGAGTATTGAAGAACTGCAGGGATAATATAATAATCTTGGACTAGTAATAGCACAGTCATTACATTACAATCCCTAGCCTGAAGGGAATGAGGAAGTGGAAATATTACTGTATTAGTCAGAGTTACAAAACAGAACAGGAGGTACACATACATGTAAAATACATAATATATAACATAAACAAATTAGGTATTATGTTAAATTAATTATATTATAAACTTATATAACTTATACATTATTAATATGTAATATATATATGCACACATACATATAAACACAGAGAAAAGGGATTTATTAGGAATCGACTTACACAGTTATGGAGATTGGCAAACTCATATCAGTATTATGGGCTAGCAGGCTCAAAACCAGAAAGAATTGATGGTATATGTAATCCATGTAGTCTGCTGGAGAATCCCTCTTATGTGAGGAAAGGTTGATATTTTTATTCAAGTTTTAACTGATTAACTAACCCATTTTATTATGCTGGGCAATCTGCTTTACCAATTGAAATGTTAATTTCATTCAAAAATACCCTCACAGAAACACTTGAAATAATGGTTGGACAAATATCTAGATACCCCATGGCCCAGCCAAGTTGACACATAAAATTAACCATCACTGAAAAGAAAGAGTTGATACCGTGAGAGAAACAGAGACCTTCAGTTAAGAGATGACTGCAACAACTCTTCAAGAAGGGAGCCAGGGAATACATTCCTTGACTTTACTCACTCCAATAGCCTGTCTGGAAGCCTCAGGGACCAGACCCAACTGGAAGCCAGGAAGCAAATGAAGCCAGTGATGTAGTTCATACAGGACTAAAAGAGCAGAGAATAATTTATCTTTGACAGACAAAGAACAGAGTTGAAAGTATGGAGAGTACATCCAGAGGGGCAAATGAAGTATTCTACACATGAAACTCAAAATCCCGGAGTCTGTGCCTCAACAACAGGCAATTCCAGCAGAATAATTCAAAGAAAGTAGAAGGAAGGAAGATAAAAGCCAAAATTAGTACAATAGAAAACAAACTCAGGGTTGGGATTGTGGCTCAGAGCACTCGCCTACCATTCGTGAGGCCACTGGATTCAATCCTCAGCATCACATAAATATATTGTGTCTACCTATAACTAAAAAATAAATATTTAAAAAAAACAGACACCATTGGCATTATGTTGGTCAGTTTTCCATTACTATAATAAAAATACCCAAGAGAATTAACTTATAGAGAAAAGGTTTACTTTGAGACTGGGGATATAGCTCAGTTGGTAGAGTGCTTGCCTTGCATGCACAAGGCCCTGGGTTCAATCCCCCAGCACCACACACACAAAAAGGTTTATTTTGGCCCACAGTTTTAGAGGATTCAGTTCATGATTCATCACCCCATTGCTTTGAGCCCGTGGTGATACAGCACATCATGGTGGGGAGTGTGTGGTGGAGTAAAAAACTGTTTACTTCTTGGTCAAAAGCAAAATAAAAGGTCAGTGGCTCAGGAGGCTGACACAGGAGGATTGAAAATTCAAAGCCAGCCTAAGCAAAAATGAGGCACTAAGCAACCCAGTGAGACCCGGTCTCTAAAAATACAAAATAGGGCTGGGGATGTGGCTCAGTGTTCGAGTACCCCTGAGTTCAATGCCTCGTACCAAAAAAAAATAATAATAAGTAAATAGAAAGAAAGAAAGAAAGAAAGAAAGAAAGAAAGAAAGAAAGAAAGAGAAAGAAAGAAAGAAAATGCACCCAATGACCTAATGACCTCCCATCTGGTCCCATATCTCAACAGTTCCATCCCCCACTTAATAGACCACTCTGGGGACCAAGCCTCTAACACATTGGCCCTTGAACATTCAAGATCCAAACAATAGTAGAAAGCAATAACAAAGTCAAAAGTTTGTTTTTACAAAAAGAATAACAAAATAATCTCTAGCAATACTAATAATCAAGAGAAAGAGAAGTCTCAGTTAGTGGATGTAAGAATAAAAATGAGATAGGACAACTTTATGCCAATGCTTACAGAAAAGTATGACTTTCTTTCTTTTTTTTTTTAAAGAGAGAGAGAGAATTTTTTTATTTTTAATATTTATTCTTTAGTTTTCGGCGGACACAACATCTTTGTTTGCATGTGGTGCTGAGGATCAAACCCGGGCCGCACGCATGCCAGGCGAGCGCGCTACCGCTTGAGCCACATCCCCAGCCCAAAAGTATGACTTTCTAACACAGGGAAGAGAATGAATTTTAAGAAAGAACTCTTTAGGGTGCTCATTGGTGATCAAGGGTGTCCCGGCATGTTGGGATGAGCTGGCCTTAGCCACAGAGAAGGCCTGGATAACGGGAAGCTCTGTGGTCCTAAAAGCAGCCAGAATTAATGGTGGTTGTTAGTTTGCAGGTAATGTAATTTCCCCCCACCATTTTGGCTTTCAGTAAAGAAATGTTAAAAATTATGGCAGTTCTCATTTGTGATATGGGAATTAAGCATTAGTCTGAGTCCCTATTTGAGGCAACATAATAAATGGGAGGCCAGGATGTCTGCATTCCTATCAAGGTGGCTGCTGAAACTTGCTTTGGAACTGCAGAAAATAATCAGAAATTGAATGAACCACAGTTCATGGGCAGAGAGGAGGTAGATAAAGAAAGCCTGACAAGGTCCCTGGTTAAAAGTCACCTTAGCTATTTAGGGAAATGGTTGATTAAGGACTGGGGCAGGAAAGGTACCAGAGGAGCTTGGAACAATTTGCTATACAAGAAAGCAAGAAGGCTATCAAAGCCTACTGGGATTGTATTAATAATTCAAGATTAATTCTATGAGAGGATTCTACTGGCCAGAAATTGGACAATTTCAGCCTTGAGGATAATAATCTTAATAGCCTGAAAAACTGAGTTTCCTTCCTCCCTCTCTCCCTTCCTTCCTTCCTTCCTTCCACTGGGAATGTGGCTTGTGGTTAATCCCATCTGGGTTTACTCCGGTATTAAAAAAAAAAAAAAGCAGACCGGGTCTCGCTAAGTTCCTAAGGCTGGTTTTGAACTTGGGATCCTTCTGCCTGAGCCTCCCAAGCTGATGGGAATAACTATAGGCACGCACCACTACACCCGGCCACCAAATAGGTTTAAATCCAAGAGTTTGTAGTACTTAAAAACAAAAACATACTTGGTTGTCATTTTTGGAGGTTTCTAGGGAAACTACTTATTATTTTGGAAACTGGTAAATGAAGAATCAAGTTTTTACCCTGGCTTTCCTCAAGTTACCCAAATGGTTGCTGAAGGAAATTTCTTTAGAGAATTGGCTAGCCAATCAGAGTATCACTATTTTGTAATCCCTACTGAAGATGAATATGAGCAATGATCAACAAATGGCTGTTGCTGGGCATGGTAGTACATGCCTGTAATCCTAGTGATTTAGGAGGCTGAAGCAGGAAGATCATAAATTGGAGGCCAGCCTTAGAAATTTAGCAAGATTCTGTCTCAAAATAAAAAATAAAAGGGGCTGGGCGTGGTGGTGCACGCCTATAGTCCCAGTGGCTCAGGAGGCTGAGACAGAAGGATTGCGAGTTCAAAGCCAGCCAGCAATGGGGAGGTGCTAAGCAGCTCAGTAAGACTCTGTCTCTAAACAAAATACAAAATAGGGCTGGGGATGTGGCTCAGTGGTCTAGTATGCCTGAGTTCAATCCCTGGTACTGCCCACCCTCCCCACCTCCTGCCAAAAAATAAAAAAATAAAAAAGGGGCTGGGGACATAGCTCAGTGGCACAGCTCCTGGGTTCAACCCTCAGTACCAAGGTCGGGGGAAGGCTGTCAGTAATAGAGACAACCAGACCTCATGTGACTCCTGAAGTTTTCAATAGAGACACGAATCATCTGAATCTGATAACACCTCTAGATCTTAATATCAATTTACAAAAAATAAAATAAAAAACAGCTCCACATATGAAACATTACAGGAATGCAATTAGTAAAGTCCATCATATGGGCAATGTATAGGACAAACAATTCAGGTACAACAAACTGCAATGAAAATAGGGGAGAAGTGGGAAGGGAGGGAGGAGGGCCACAGGAAGAGAGAGAAAGCACACCTGTAGATTAGAAGATATTGTAGAGATATATTATCTAATTCCAAATACATTAAGCCCTGCTTGGATCTTGATTCAAACAAACTACAACATAAATTTATAAAACAATAAAAATTTTGAGCATTAATTAGATATTTGAAGGTATTAAGGAATAATTCTTGATTTCTGTAAGTGTGTTTTGGCGATACATTATGAAATACTTTTATGGATGAAAAGAACAATATTTGGAATTCTAGATAATCTCGTGCAGATATAAATGAAATAAGGTTGACCATGAGTTCATGAAGCTGGATTTGCTAAAACTGCATGATGAGCTCATGGGGGATTACTATCCTGTTCTCTCTTGTTTACTATAATTAAAAGTTTAACGTCTTCTCTTTTCGGGGAGGCCTTCCCAACCACCCCACCTAAGGTGCTTAACTTGCCCCATTATTAATTAGCATAGCACCCTACTTTCTTCATGAAACTTAGTCAATGTCACTTTATATATTTCCTAGTTAATTTTTCTCTGGTAGAATTTAGTTTATAAATAAAAATTGTTTGTCTTGTTCACTGCTTACCTACTAGGTTGTCTCTGGCACCCAAAGGTGCTTAAATCTTTGTTGACTGAAAGAACAGATGGTTAGAGGGGACAGTTAATGGGCAAAAGCACAGTTCTGGGGCAAGAACTGACAAAGAATTACATTTGTAACAGCACCCTCCCCAAAGATACCAGAAAAGGGAGATTCAACTATCAACCCCTGGGCCTTTGCAGCCAGCTAACTTGGAGTTTAGCTATTTCTCCAATTGTCTGAGAAAAATAAACTAGATTCACAATTGTTGTTAGTCACAAACCTTTTCTTTGAGTGAAAATAATACAATATGTAAAACATAATAGCCAAAATCAGATTTATTACTATAGTTTAGTTTCAAAAAAAAAAAATAAAAAAATCATCCAGTGGTTATGATGAATCTAGGAAAACCTGTCCCAGCAAGGCCAACTTGGAGGTAAAAGGCTGACTAGGGCAGCTGAGAAGTGAGATTTTCTGCTTGCCAACTTTCTTCTCCCTTGTCTGGTCATGGTTTTCAGGTGAGGAGAAGGTTCCTGGCCTTTCTGGGGGTTCCCAGCGCCCTGAATTCATCCTCTTTTTCCGAAATCTTGACCTATTCCGTTTGAGAGAGTAGAATTCTCTCATCAAGTCTTCCACTTCCCACTGCTCCTCCTTCAGCCTCCGGCAGCAGTGCAGGGCAGCAGGGTCAATGGGGTGGGCTTCTGTGTTGAAGATGTAGCCTCCAGCCCCCAGGATGCACTCCCCATAGGGGGTTATCACAGCATCAAAGGTGGAGCCATTGTTGTGGATGAAGTTGGTGGGGTCAAACAGAAGGTAGAGGTATTTCACAGTCTCAGCCAGGAAGAAGGACTCCATGCGGTTGTCTAGTTTGTGGTCTCGAAGATCTTTGATCTGCCACGTGGGAGAAGGAAGCAAGTCAAACAGCATCACAGTTTGGCAGTAAGGGTCATGGGACCCTCTTTAAGAATTCCTACTGGGCCACTAAGCAGCTGAGAGCCTTTACGTGACTCACTTAGCTTTTCCAAGCTGCCCACTCCTCTCACCTGGATTATCACAATAGCTTCCAACTGCTCCCCGCTTCCATCCTTACCCTACAGTATACTTGTATCATGAGTCTTACCTGCGACTCCTCTTTTCATAACCCTCTGCTGATACCTCACTTCATGTAGGTTAAAAACCCAAGCCTTACCATGGCTACCAGGTCCTTCATGTTAGGTATGAGATTTAATAAAAAAAATACTCTTGGTCTGGGGTTGTAGCTCAATGGTAGAGACTTGACTCGCATGTGTGAGGCACTGGGTTCAATCGTTAGCACCACATAAAAATAAATAAAATAAGGATATAGTGTCCATCTACAATTAAAAAAAATATTTAAAAAAAAATACTCTTCCCACTAGGTTTAACTAGCTCCCTTACTTCCTTCAAGTCTGCTCAGATGCTGCCTCCCTGGAAAGGTCTCTCTCCCATGTTCTTACATGACAGAATAATCTCTAATGTCCTATATCCTGCCCTGGCATAATATCTCATTGTTAAAATGTCTCATCATTTACTTAGATCTTCCCTTGCTGGGCATCACCGTGGGTACCAAGTTTTTGCTATTGTCAATAACAAAGAGACTATTTTAGAAAATTTCAACGAGTTTACAGTCATAGATGAGTAAGATGACTTGCTATGAACATATTTTTTTAGCTTCTCAGAATTAGCGATGTATTTAAACAAAACTCTTTTTTTTTTTTTCTTTTTGATACCAGGGATTGAACTTTGGGGCACTCAACCACTGAGCAACATCCCCAGCCCTATTTTGTATTTTTATTTAGAGACAGGGTCTCCCTGAGTTGCTTAGGGCCTTGTTATGTTGCTGGGGCTGGCTTTGAACTCATGATCCTCCTGCCTCAGTTTCCCAAGCTGCTGGGATTACAGGCATGTGTCACTGTGCCTGGCTAAACAAAATTTAATTCTCAGTGGACAACAATCTTACGCAAAAAAACCTGACTCTAGGGATATATGCACCAAGACTTATTTTCTTGCCCTGTTTGACAAGATCAGATGCCTTTTCCCATCATGCACCCTGGAAGACCTCCAAGAGGCTTATTTACATGGAAATAAGGCTAACATTTCTAAGAAAACCCCAATGGGCTTATTTCTGGTTTTTCACAAAACAACACTATGGAAACCAAAACATATCACTGTTTTATTTTCTCCCTAAGCATACGGACCTTCTCTTTCAAAATGGGAATCCACATTTTACTTACAGAATATAATGACATTATAAATTTTGCCAAAAAAATATATACGTGCACTTTTCAATCCTATAGCTTCACACAAACTCTGTATACTTTTCAGGGAATTTTCTCCAGACTATTTTCCTAAACATCTAACTTTATGTGTCTGTAACGATTGTTTGGGTCCTATAAGGATATGTGACCCAGCTCTCAACCTTGACCCTTTTAATCCATTCTCCATACAGCAGTCAGAGCGATAGTTCTAAAATGCCAATCTAATCATGGCCCTGCTCCTACCAAGGCTCCTTCCAAACTGACCCAAATACAAATTCTTTCCCATGGCTCGTGTAAGGTCTGCTGTGATACGGTCCATGTCTTCCTTTGGGACCTTCTATGGACCCACTTTCCACCTTGTTCACTCCACTCTAGCCAACATTGGCCTTAGTGTCTCACAGATATGTTCACTGTTTTACCTACTAAAATGCAAGCTCCATAGGAGTAGGACCTAGTCCTTCTGTATCACTATGACCCTAGGGCCTAGTAAAAGATACCCAATAAGTATCTGTGAGATCAGCAGGCTTGTTTTGTTAAATGGCCCCAGGTTTGGATACAGAGCTATGAGAGTATGGATTTTCCTTCTTAAAGTCCATTTTATAAACTCTCTCAGAAAACTTTCCAGGAAGTCCAGCACAATATTACACTCCTGTAATCCCAGAGACTCAGGAGGCTGACATAGGAGGGTCACAAGTTCAAAGCCAGTCTTAGCAACTTAGTGAGGCCCTAAGCAACTTAGTGAGACTCCTGTCTCAAAATAAAAAATAAAAAGGTCTGGGGATGTGATTAAGCGCCACTGGGTTCAATCCCGAGTAAAAAAAAAAAAGAAAACTTTCCAAGAAACTCACATTACAAAGTAACCTATTCAGACAGGCAAGGATCTCTGGTGCAGAGGGGGTACAGAGGGAATGCCAAGGGCAGAGGGTCAAGGCCTCTGGTGACCAATCTTGGCTCCACCTCTACTAACTGCATGATTATTAGCAAGGCTCTTAGCTCCTCTGTTCACTAGTTTATGTCCATCTTTAAGGTCCCCTCCAGTACTAATGTTCCAGCACTCCCAAAGCTTCACCCTTAAAGAGGCTCTATAGCAGCAAGAGGAAATATTTCCCAATTGTTGGGCTCAGGAAGCACTTACTGTTGCAAATCCGCACTCCACCTTGCTGATTTTTTCAATGGACTCCACAGCATCTCTCCCAAGTTCTAAGAGGGTAGGATCTCCCGTGGCACGATACAGGTACATTGCACTCTCAATGAGCTCTGTAAAGTCCAAAGCAGAACTTCCTCACCCAGTAGCTGAGCAGGCATGGCTTGGGGCCCACTCAGGAAAGGCAGTAGAGGATTACTCCTCTCTCTTTGTATATAAGGCCCCAACTAAGAGCAACATGGGATATCTACTGAGAGCTTATACTCCCAAAGCTGGAAGCTCAGTGGAGACCAGCAAAGGCTGACCATGGGCTCCCATCCACATAGAGAGTCATATATAACCAGAATATAAAAGAGAATGAAAGTATCTTTTTTTTTTTTTTCGTACTGGGGATTGATCTCAGAGGCACTTGACCACTGAGCCACATCCCCAGCCCTATTTTATATTTTTAGAGACAGGGTCTCACTGAGTTGCTTAGTGCCTCCCTTTTTGCAGAGGCTGGCTTTGAACCCACAATCCTCTTGCCTCAGCCTCCCGAGTTGCTGGGATCACAGGCATGCGCCACCATACCTGGCTGAAATTATATCTTGATTAAGCTATTTCTTTCTGTTGCTCACAGCCCAACCTAACCCTAAATTTTAAAAGAAGAGTATGAGCCTGTTATTCTGAGGCCCTTGCTAAGTCAAGACAGATAAAAGGATGAAAATTAAAATATTTAAGCACCAACCTCAACCTACCAAAGATGTAGTCCCTGATTCACTGTGCCCAAGGTGACAGTCTTGCCCTATCCTACCTGACAACAGGAGTGTATGTTCAGACAGGAGCTCTATTTTGAGACAGATATTGGCCAACAAAGGATCCATATGAGAATATTTATTCTAGGGGTTGACGGGGTAGAAACTCAGGAAAATGTGTTTATTGTTTTCAGATACCTGAACAACTATTTTAGAAAAGAAAGATTTTACTTTTCACTGAGGATGGCCTCAGTGGGTAGAAACTATAGCTCAATATGCTTTTCTACTTAGTCACCAATTTTTCTTAGAGGAAAGAACTACTTTTCCTCCTCCACCAATATCTCCCTGATCTTCTCCCTTCCTGTTTCCTCCTGAGCTCATCAGAACTGCCCACTCCCCAGTTCTCTCATACATTTCCCTCCCCGCCACATGGAGACAACTGCTAATCCAATTGCTTATATTCTACAATACGGATAGGGCACACTTACTGGACAATGAACACTCAGACTGAAAAGACAGTGTTCTCATGAGAGGCCTCCCTTCTGCTTCCAGCACCTGGCTGGATCAGGGCCATTCTTGTTTCCTCTTCCTCACACATGGATCTAAGTAACGCTAGCTATTGCTTTACCTTTCTGTACATCACCCAGACAACTCTGGAGAAGGGTAACTGTCTGACACTTAGATTTGGCCTGTATAGGAGGTTAAGGCCTTCAGAGGCCATTAGGCTGGGCTCTGTGCTTCCACATTGGCGATCATAGGTATGCACCAGAGTGCAATGCATTGGCCAGTCTAGTTACAAGGTTCTATCTTATCTCCCATGTGCTATTGTTTTGGGGAAGGAAGGGCGACTGGCCTGAGGCCCTCCTGGATTCCTGGCAGTGGTGCCTTATTTTCCACTGATGCCTTCCTGCCAGCCTGTCCTGCAAATGGAACAGGGTGCGTCTGTATGTAGTGAGCTTCCTGTCCCTGGTGGCAACTAAGAAAAGATTAGATAATAACTTGACAGGGCTACTGCAGGAGGATTTCAATTAGAAGACCTCTCAGATTCCTCTAACCCTAAGATTGCACAAGTTTACATTTTATATTAGGCCCAAACTCTGATAATTTCTTCTATAGGGAATGCTAGATATGATGGATACTTTCTCTTAAAATAATAAATAAATAAATAAATAAAGCCATGGCAACAAATGCATGAGAAACACCAAGGACAGCAACTTCTGAGGATTCCAAAGTGACTGATTTGCCCTTTACAACTGCTGTTTCACTCCTTCTGCACTGTCCCAAGGTCCTACAATAATCACTTTGTTTAGAGGAGGAAGAAACTGGGGCAGAGGAAGGCAGAACGGGAAGAAGCACTAGGAAGTCCTGTTCCATGGCTCAAAGGCAATTCAGGTGGGAAGCACCTAAGATGATGTTAAGGTAACCTGCACTGGGGTGGGAATGACTGTGCTGACTAAGCTTCCTGCCTCTGTCCCCCTTTCCCTCCCTCCTAAGTGTTGACCTTTCCTGTAGTGAATCAGAGGACATTAGAAATGTCAAGAAACTTAAGACAATGTCCAGTGTGTGTGGTCTCTTCCTTGATCCTGAGCTGCCAAATGAGAGTGGGACAAGACTACATGATACTGAGGTCCATCCCAAAGTTTTACCATTCTGTACTATGGAAGCATAATTTGCCCAACCCACTGATTTGGGAAGTTTGCATGGGCTTCTGAAATCCTGATGGCAGAAGCTCCAAAGGAGACAATCTGGCATTTTCCCTCTCACTATTCCCCTAAGCTTGGAAGAGCCCAGGAGAAACTTGGGTTTAGTCCCAGCTTCTGCACTTAGCCTTGGGCAAACCATTTCAGCCTTCTTATGGGTGTCTATACCTGAAAATATGGGGATGAATAATGCCTAGTAGGAAAACCACCCAGAGACGCTGGATCAAATGGGGAAAAAAAAATAGCCTTGCAAAAGTTTGTGAGGGATTAGGGTGTGAGGAACCAGACCTTACCATGGGCCAGAGATCTACTCACCTGGCCGAAGTGGGTAGCCCTCTCGTTTATCCACTGTGTATCCCTGAGGGATGTTGTAGAATTCTGGGAGTCCCCCAAACTGCTTCCATACAGTGTAGTAGTTGAGGAAGGTCCTCATAGCATTGTCAATGTCCCCAATGAGGCTCTGTGGGAGAGACCTAGTGATCAGGTAGGCAAATGCCAGCCTAAGACCCATAGACAAAACTCCACATATAACCAAGCTCAGGGAAAAGACACAGTAAAGTCTTTGGGGCAAAAAAAGCCATCAATCAAACCCTGAGTCTGCTGTTGACTATCGTTGTAGTCCTGAGCTAGACAGTTAACTTTTCTGAGCCTCATCTGTAAGATGTAAAATTCAATACTTACCTCATGCATTGTTGGGAAGAACTGAGATTATGTATTAAGTCCCTGAACCTTCACAGTCAATGTTAGCTACCAGCAGTTTTTATTTTGACAGCTGGTTCAAAATTCTGAAGGAAAAGTTTGGCTGTGCTTTCACCCTCACCCCACAGCCCAACAGATGACCATTCTGATTAGTTTCTTATATAACTTTCCAGAGTTTCTTTATGCAAACATAAGCAAAAAATGAGCATGTTATTTTCCCATCACTAAAAATAGCCTAAATTAGGCATACTATTTTACACCTTCCTTTATTTATTTAACAATGTATCCTGATTTTTTCAGGCAAGTACATAGAGAGTGCCCTCCTCATATCTATACAGTTGCATCATATTCTATTTCTTTTTCTTTTTTCAGATGTTGACACACCTTTATTTTATTCATTTATTTATATGCAATGTTGAGAATCTAATTCAGCACCTCACACATGCTAGGCAAGCACTCTACCACTGAATCACAACCCCAGCTCCTCATATTCTATTTCTTAGACCAAAGTGTAATCATTTCCTTATTAATAGCCATTTGGCTTGGTCCAATCTTTTGCCATGTGCTGTAACAATCAATTGCTGCAATAAATACCTCTGTACATATGTCATTTAAAATATATGCAAAGTGCATCTGTAAGATTAATTTTCAAAACTAGGACTGCTGGGTGAGAAGATATGGGAATTTGTAATTTCCCTAGCTATTGCTAAGTAGCTAATATTACTATGAGTTCACAGAAAAATAGCTGATGTTGACATCTCCCTTGGCTGTTTCATAGATAGAACAAACTTGCCATTTCCCAAATAAATCTTGGTTCCCTCACTTTTCCCCATTTGTCTCCCTACTCCTGCTTCTGTCTCTTCTTACTAAATAGCACCACTGTCTACCCATTACCCTGATCAAAAACTTGGTGGTCATCTTGGGCTCCTCCCTCCTTCCTCACATCCATTCCTCAGTAGCTCTTGCTAATTCCATCTCCAAAACATTGAGACTTGCCCTTATCTCCAGAGCTATCACCTGGTCACAGCATCTCACACTGAATGGGATGAACTCAAAGGCCTCCTCCCTGATCCCACCACTGCCCCTCCTTAATCCAGGCTCACCAAAATAGTCAAGAATAACCATCAGGGCTTCCCCTAGGCTTAGCATAAAGCCAAGATACCTCCCTAGGGCCCTCAAGGTCCTGCACAATCTGGTCACTGCTGACCTTCCAGTGACTAAACTTTTCTTCCCTGGACTGTGGCCATATTGCATTTTTGTTTCTGATAAACACCCAACTCTTTCCTACCTTGTGACCTTTACACATGACCTTTCCTTGTCCTGGAACGTCATGCCCCAACCTGATTTCTTTGCTCTTCAAGTATGAACTTAAGCATCTTTGCTTCAGAGGCACCTATCTAAAGCACATCCCTGTCAGGGATGGTATCCTCTACCTCAGCTTCTTTTTTGTTTCCTACATTGTAAGGTATTACTGTATGTGTGTTTAATTTTTTCTTTGTGTCTACCCCTCACAAACTTCACAAGGACATGGCTGAAAGACAGTAGGCATTCAAATATTTGCTAAGTAAAGCCAGGCACAGTGGTGTATTCCTATAGTCCCAGGTATTGGGGAGGCTGAGATGAGGCGAACATTTCAGCCTAGGAGTTCATGGCCAGCTTGGACAACATAGCAATCCTATCTCATTTTTTAAAACATTGCTAAATATAACAAATTTAACATCTTTAAACTACTTTTTTTTCATTTTGTGAAACATTTATTGCCAGCTACTATTTTATCCCCACATACTCCCCATAAAAAATGTAGTCAAGCAAAGGCATTGTGTTGTGTCCATCTACACTTAAAAAATAAATAAATATTAAAAAAAAAGAATCACAGTTTAGCAGTATGAATATTTAACAGTAAAGGCCAACATTATATACAAGTATAATGCATCCATTCAAAATATATGAATAATAAATCACAGTCTATCTATTCAATGGAATATTTACCGCTGTTTAAAAAATAAAGTAAAACTGATTCATACGTATCAATAAAAAATGATCTACAAGATATAAGTACCAAAGAATATAACATGTTTCTATCTATTTAAAGAAAAAGGGGGATATAAATGTACACATATTGATGTCTATGGATTTCTGGAAGGATTCATAGAAAACAGAACAGGGGTAGTGGGGTAAGGGCTCAACATTTACTTTTCACCATATTCCCTTGTGTGCTTTTCAAATTACTACCATTTATTGCATTATTATCTTTCTTAAATAAAAAAAAAAATCAAATCCACCTAGACTATAAACCACTTTGGTACAGGTAATATCTTGGCATACCTAGTGGGTAGATTCAATGCCCTTCCAGCAGCAACTCTATCAGACTGTCAAGAACAACCATGATCAGGCCCACTATCAAGGAAAGATACCTGACAGAACTGCCCACTGGAGAAATGGCTGTTACTGGCTTGGAAAGACACTGCCTACATGACTGTAGCCGGTAAGACATGCAACCTTGAAGTTCAGTTCCTGGCACCTTCATGCTCCCCTTGGAAAATTCAGCTTGGCAGAATTGTGTACCTCTGTAATTCACTCTAGGTTTCTATTTCATCCCCACACACTCCCCATAAAAAATGTAGTCAAGCAACCTAAGGAGCACATTTAATATGTATCAAATGAGCTTGCTTTGTCATTCTACAGAAAAATGACCACCATCTTTGACCATTCCTACCTGAAGACCAGGCCAGTAGGCCTCCAAGGACTGGAAGACCGGCATGGACACAGTTCCCTTGTACATCTGCACCCACAGGTACCAGTCATCGAAGCGGGTGTAATTCCGAATGGCTTTGTTATACTCTGCACCACAGAAAATGGGTGATTAGGAAGACAAAAGGCAGTCTAGACAACGGAAGTGTGGACTTACACTTGGAGAGATCATATGATGGCTTAGCCTCAATGGGGACAAAGATGCAGTAAGGCAAACAGACTAGAAAGAAGCACAGATTCTAGAGTCAAATATCCAGGCTCAAATTCCAGGTCTGGCTTTACCACATGCTAGTTGTGACCTTGGGCAAACTTTTGCTGCTTAGCCTCAGTTTTACTATCTGTTAAAACTGGGAAAGAAATGTTACAAACATTGTAGGATTTTCCAGTCATTTATTCACTAAAATATTAAGTACCTACTAGGTGTGCAGTGGTAAACAAGACAAAGTCCAGCTCACATGGAGCTGACATCCAGTGGGAAATTGAACTTTTACTCCTTCCCTAGATTGTAAATCCATAAGCCCTAGGACTTTGTTTTGTTCACTGTAGAATCCCCAACACTAAGAGGGTGCACAATAAATATGCACAACAAATATTATCTAAATGAACAAAGTGCCAAATACATATGCAAATATATGAGATAACCTAAAAGACTGATGTAAGGATTAAGTGAAATAGACACGTTCAAAGCATGACACTGTGCTTGGCACATTAATGGTACCCAATAAATACTTGCTGAACAAATGAACAGTAGCTATAGTAGTTATTACTAGGTGCCCAAGAATTCCCCAAGATCATTATTATTAGTGACTAAGGACCTGGAAGGTAAATGCACTTATTCAGCAGGGAATCATCTCTTAACTTGTCTTATGCAAAGGTCTGGGGGAAACAAAGATGAAAAAGGCATGGGCTCTGTACTGAACAGACTTGTAATTGTTGATGAAAGCTAACTACAGGAAAGATGCTTAAGTCTTTGTATTCTGAGAAAGGGTCAAACTGTTTCATGGGCAAGGTGATATTTAAGCTGGGCTTTGAAGGGTGAATAGAATTTGGAGATATGAGGATAGGAAAAGTATCCAGGCCAAGGAAACAGTATGTATAATGGCCAGGGGATAAGACATCTGGGACATGTATAGAGAACAGCATGGTTCTTGTAAGTAGGCATAAGGAATCAGGCATGGTGTAACCCCAGCAGCTCAGGAGGCTGAGGCAGGAGGATCATGAGTTCAAAGCCAGCCTCAGCAACTTAGTGAGGCCCTAATGAAATATAAAAAAGGGCTGGGGATATGGCTCAGTAGTTAAGCACCCCTGGTTTCAATCCCTGAGACAAAAAAAGAAAGAGAGACAGAGAGAGACAGAGACAGAGACAAACAGAGAGAGAGAGAAAGAGAGAGAGAGAAAGCAAGCAGGCAGGCACGAGCAGGTGCACCAGGCAGCAAGTGGAAGGTCTAAGTCCACAGTGCCTTCAAGTGCACACTCAGGCATTCTGAATTGATTTTGTAGGCACTTGGGAATAATTAATTGAAAGTTTACAAATAAACCACACATCAATAGGAAAAGACAGGAAAAAGCCCTCTTACCCTGCCCCTTTTACCTAGGAACATGGCCATGAGCTTCTTATCCTGAAGCAGGATGGCTCCTTTCACCAGGTACTCAAAGTAGGAATCCACACCAGCCCCGATGCCTGCGTCCTGGGCCACCCATTTGCCAGTGAGCACATCAATGTGGTTGCCAACCTGGGAGAGAAACACATGGTTCCAAGGGAGGACCTAACACCAAAGAAGGCTATATCTACTCCTGAGTGCCCAGTGAGACGCAAGGTGGGCACCTCAGCACTTCTTGGAGACACAGAGGTTATAGGGGAAGGCGACAAAGCTGAAACATGGCCAGACGTCCTGCACATCTGGACAGTGGAGAGACATCTCATGCACATTTATGAGGATGTAATTATATACACTGGGCAAAAATTAAAAGGAAAAATAATTTGGAGTGTTTATGCCCTGCCCAGAGTGAGTGAGAGATGAGAACTTGCTGTTCTCACAATCTGTGTCAGACTTCAGAGCACGTGGCCTTTGATTCCAGTGTCTAAAGACATGACACATTCTTCATATATTTCCATAAATTAACTCAGGAAGAAAAGGAACTGGATAGCTGGAGGACAGGGGTCAGAGGGAACTTTATCAATGTCACTGGGTACTTTTATTGGATCCTTTGAATTTTTTTTTCTGGGTACCGGGGATTGAACTCAGGAGCACTCAACCTCTGAGCCACATCCCTAGCCCTATTTTATATTTTATTAGAGACAGGGTCGCACTGAGTTGTTTAGCGCCTCAGTAAATTTCTGAGGCTGGCTTTGAACTCACAATCCTCTTGCCTGAACCTCTAGAGCTGCTTGGGATTACAGGCCTGCACCATGGTACCTGGCTGGATCCTTTGAATTTTGAGCCATGTAACTGTAAAATATTTTTAAAATAAATATTAAAAGATTTAAAGGAAGAAATGTGTTTTTCATATAACTCAGATGCTCCTGGAAGTAATAACTTTATCAGATATTCAATTAAAAAGAAATTACTATGTATTCCGCGTTTGGGTCCTCCTGGGGCAGACCCTCAGAAAGGGAGAATGAAAACAGTTGATATGATGTGAGTCCCTGAAAATATCAGCAGAGAAGGAAAGAAAGAGCAAGGGAGTCAGGAAAGGGGATGCAGCCCATAAGGGCTGAAGGATGGAGCAAGTTTCCTCATGGGAACTGGAGCTCAGTCCTTCTGGGGAGCTCTGGGATTCAGTGTAGAGCATGTATGTGCCTTGGAGTGATCTCACCCAAAGGCAGGAGGGGGTGGAATGGAATGTTTATCCACAAACTTCCATCAGTAGCAGTCACTGGTTGAGAACTGCTCCAGGGTAGCATTAAGTTCCGGTACTTTCAGCCAAGGCAAGCAAAGCAGGCTCCAAGCACCAGTAAAGGCCCGCCAGCAAAGGGACATGGGTGATGGCTGCGTGAAGACAGGTCAATGTGCACAGAAATAAAAAGAATTCACTATGGTCCCAGGGCTGGAGAAATGCTACCTGTGTTAGACTAAGGCAGTTACTCCAGTCTCCAGAATGGTACCTTCCTAAGGGATTTGTGAAGTTTAGTCAAATAAACTCCATTTTTCAAGCTGACTTAGCATCAAACTTTTCATAACTTATACTTTAATCACTTTCAAATACAGTCTTTAGAAATCACAATGACTCAGCAAAGCAGACACTAATACATTAACTTGCTGAAGTAACTGAGGACCAGAAAGGTTAAACGACTTGCTCAGGGTCACAGAGTTTCAATTTAGCAAGGCCAGGGCTTGAATCTAGTTCTGTCTAAATCCAGTGTTATTTCTTGGATAGCTTTGGCTCAATTATTGTTAGGTTCACTAGAATATCCTGTTAAGGAGCTGAAAACTACGTTAGTAGTCATCTGATCCAAAGTGTGTTAAATTTCCCTGTGTTAAGTGGAATTGGAGGGGAAAGGGAAGTCCTGGGGTCAAATAATTTGAGAAATGTGAAGTCAAATCAGTTACTTTACCCCTGGATTCCATAATCTTCATTCTGCTCATGTTCATTATTACTTTCCCAAAAGAGGGTACCATATTTAAGAATCACATAAAGGAAGAATCACATAAAGAATCATATTTAAGAATCATGTAAAGGAAGAAATGTGTTTTTCTTATAACTGGTCAACTTAATTGAACAGGAACCTTTTAAAAAAATTTTTAACAGAGCAATCATTCAATATTTCTTAACATTGGTATTCTAAGAAACACAATTTTACAAATATAGATAGACACTAAAAATAAGAGCTAGATGAGCTGATGATCTATGACCACTAATTAAGCCAGGGGCATGAAGCATATGGCTCCCTAGAAATCAGAGAAGTTCAAAGGCTTAAGCTTAACACAGCCCCTGCTCCCAGGCAGAAGATATGCTTTCAGGCTGTCTTCCCTTCTGAGCCACAATATGAATGGCAGTTTTGGTCTACTTTTGATGTCCTAAGCCCAAGTCCTGGGCCATTCCCAGGGTTACTCTACTTTTCCTCTGACTTGACTATAACTTGTTGCTCAGAGACCTTGTAAACGGAGGGGTAGGGGGTCTTAAATTGGCAGACTTGACTCACAAAGGAAGGGCAGCAGCAGACCTACCAGCCCGATATCTGACCGGCTCTCCCAGAGGCGCATCAGGGCTACTCTGGCCACATCTTCAAACACAGGGTCACCAGTGAGGCTGCTCAGGGTGGCAAATTCCACAATGAAGGTCCCGATCCCTGCTGTACAGGTGACAGGGGTCTCTCCAGGGTTCACGCCATGCAGCAGGTTCACCGTTCCATAGGGCATGCCAGTGGGGGTCTGAAAGGCTAAATAATCAGATTTGTGACTCAGACAAGAGCAAGTAGGTAGGGATGGTTTTGATACAGGCCTGAAGCTTGAGACCTCAGCCTGCACTTCCTTCTTTTTCTCGCAGGTGATCTGCTAGCGTATGAATGGGAGAAGGACAAATGTCACAACTGAGGGGCCCTTAGCAGCCACTTACCCCAGATGCTGTCAAACACTGTTCTGCCCCAACCCCGGGGCTCCTGCCTGTGATGCGGGCATGGAGTAAACTGTGCTCACGCTGCCACACTCCACATATCTCACTTCAGCTACAGCAGATCTACTTTTACTTTATTTATTTATTTTTTCCACTGTGTATTCCAAGGCCAGGCAGGTAACTCAGTGTAAAACAGGCAAGGTTTAAGCTATAGAGAATAGTGGGGCTTGTGTCACATGGACAAGAGCATGCCCCAATAGAAGCCACTCATAAACTTTTTAAAACACCACTCTGACCAAATGAAACAGGGTCAGTAGGGTCAGTAGATGCTAAGAAGTCCCAAAGGGACCAGTTTGAGATTCCTGCTTAAATAAAAAATTTAGGGACAAAATTATTTTTTAAAAAAAGAAAGAACCGGCTGTGGTAGCACACACCCATAATCCCTGTGACTCAGGAGGCTGAGGCAGGATGATCACAAGTTTAAGGCCAGCCTTGGCAATTCAGTGAGACCCTATCCCAAATTTAAAAATAAAAGGGGATAGAGATATAGCTCAGTGGCAAAGCATCCCTGTGTTCAATCCTCAATCCTCAAAAACAGAAACATAAAACCCACTGATAGAGTCTGACCCTCAAATTTACAGGTGGGGAAAATCACACCTGTAAAGAAGTGATTCAGCCAAAGATCACACGGAAAATCAAACAGAGCTGGGCTGGGAATGCCTGCCCAGACTTCCCCAACAGCTCCAGCCCAATGCTCTGCCCACCCCACCCTGTGCCTTCTGATTCAAGGCAAGAACTTGAAAACCAGCCCAAGGCAGAGATTTCCTCTCCAGGCCAGAAGGTCAAACAACTTCAGAGCAACAGCCTTGGGTCACCAAACTGTGAACAAAGTTGACAGGGTCCAGCAACTTTGTTATAGACAAGAAACTTGTTTTCTGGCAGGCACAAGCAGCAAGCAGGGAGAATGAGAGTCACAAGCAAAAAGGACCCAAAGAAATATTTTAGAAAAGGAAGGAAGTATTAAAAAGAAAGTAACAAAACCCTTCTTCTTGAGTTGAAGTGTAGATATAGCAGTGCTTTCTTTATAATTACTCAATTTTTTTAATAGGTATATTTCTCAATGCAAAAATTTTTAAATGACAAGGGAAAAAAAGGCAACAAGGCAGCTTTCTCTAGGGATGAATCACACAGGACATGATGTTTGCGAGGAGACACTCCGGCGGTGAGCCATGGGCCACGAGTGAGACGCAAATCCAGCTCACCCTCTCAAGCATGAGAGGCAAGCAACTGTTGCAAGCAAGGGACAAATGAGACGGCCTAGGAGCTGGCGGAAAGGACACTGTGATGTGTTTGGGTGTGAACAGTCCTTAGACTTCTACTACGCCCAGAAAGGAACACAGCGTCCAGCTGACACTGCCGAGCCCAGTGTGGCTGCCCCACTGGACCCAAACACTGAGGCTTGGCCTGCAGCCCTGGACACAGCATAGCCACAAAACAAATCCCTCTCGTTTTAGTGTTTAAGGTTCTCCAAGCACTTTCTGCCATCTGATCTCATTTTGGCCTCCCCGAAATCCAGTGTGGTAGGGAGGCAAGAATGATGACTTCCAGACAGAGGGGAAACTGTACCATGGAGAGGAAGGACAGCCTGGTCAAACTGTTAGCTGGCAGAGCCCATCTAGAACCCATGGCTTCTAATGCTCAGACCATGACTCTTACCCAGAACTCTGTTATTTCAGAAGCATATGGGCCTGGAAAGGGGTGAAAGGGCTGGCTCAAAATAAGGGTTAAAAACCATTTATCAGCCAGGCTGGCCTTAAGCCCATGCCTGCAGACTGTAATGAGGTCAGATCATCCATCCTGAGCCAGAACCCCAGCAAGCCCTTAAAACACTCAGAAAGCTCCTGATTTCTACGGTAGATGCTCAGGAGTAGGGATATAGAGTATTTGAGTAAAAAAAAAAACACTAGGACACGAATCAGCATTACCACTCTCATCTCCAACAAGGGAAGTGGGGTGTACTGGACTTCATGTCTCCCCCATCGCTGTGTGGTCTTACCTGGGAGGAGTTTTCGGGCTGCCTCCTCGGCCATTCTCAAGAGAGGTCCAGAACAGGGCCATCCGGCCTCCACTTCCACCCCAGCCTTCTTGGACAATAGATGAGCAGACAGGAGTCCTCCTACCACTATAGACGGCACAAAATGCAAGTGTTACAGGACAGAGGACAACTCTTTCTCTTGTGCGAATTAAACCTCACCACTCTGCTGGGGTGAGTCAGATAAAAGGTCCCCACATAAAGTTGTGATCTGAAAGATGTGTGTAAGGATGAATTAAAAATAGACCCTACATACTTTTCCTAGTTACATAGGAAAATTAGATGCCTCGAATCTTGGTGCCAAGTAAAAGAAAGGGGAAATTTTTAAAGAAAAACAAAACAAAACATAAAAACCCCAGTGAAATCTGGTACTCATAGTTTTACAATTTGAAGTCACACTAACTGGATAGTCTAGAAGGAATTAGGGCCACCTAGTCAATGAGTCTATCCTCTAGTCCCACATGTGAAGTTTACAGTTTCTTCTCTTGATGGGTCATGGAAACAAGGGTCATCTTTTGAAGTTCCTACTATGTACCAAGAACAGTGTACTGTCATCCCTTCTTCAGATGAAGATATTAAGATTCAGATAGGCAAAGTGACTTTGCCTAGGCCACCCATCTAGTAGGATATAAGGCCATGTCTGCCTGATTCCAAAGTCTAAGCTCATTCTACTTTGTCATTCAGTCTCCCAACTGCCTGTTACACCTAGCACAATGAGAAAAAAGTATTTATTATCTTCACTTATCTATTAATTCATTAATTTATCTATTTTGATTTATTATGCAATATTTAGGACTCACGAAAAGACACAAAGGTCTTTTGTGTCTAGAAATATGGCTAAATAGATATAATGAATGACCCTCTGACTAAGCTCTGACATTGAGCTTCAGTCTTCCCCTCCTGACAGAAGGAGAACGGAAGACAAAGGCAGGACCTGGCCAAAGTGGGAGTCAGATAAAAGGTCCCCACATATAGTTGTGATCTGAAAGATGTGTGTAAGGATGAATTAAAAATAGACCCTGCATACCTTTCCTAGTTATACAGGAAAATTAGATGCCTCAAATCTTGGTGCCAAATAAAAGAAAGGGGAAATTTTTAAAGAAAAAACAAACAAACATAAAAACCCCAGTGAAATCTGGTACTCATAGTTTTACAATTTGAAGTCGCACTAACTGGACAGTCTAGAAAACTTCAAACCTTTAGCATAATGTGAGTTTTGGTAGGTAGTGACTCCAGCCAAATGGGAGAAATCAACAAAAACTATATCTGGAAGAACCCACATTCATCCCAGGCCTCTAAGAATCCTACAAATAAAGTCTAGGAAATGAACATAGAATGAAATGTAATAAATCAAACTTAAAAATCACAAAATATATAAAGCATTATAAATAACAGCCAGAAGAAATGACAGCAGAACAAGACCCACCAACACTTCATATATTGGAATTATCAAACATAAAACACAAAATAATTGCATGCAATATACTTAAAGAAATAAAGGAGGTTGGAAGACATAAATACACAAATACTAAAAATGACCATTTTATATTTTTAAAAGGACCAAGGTAGGGGAAAGAGGTGTAAAAAAGATGGTGGAATGAGATGGACATCATTACCCTAAGTACATGTATGAATATACAAATGGTGTGAATATACTTTGTATGCAATCAGAGATATGAAATATTGTGCTCTATATGTATAATATGAATTGTGATGCATTCTGCTGTCATATATAACACATTGGAATAAAGAAATTTGTTTTAAAAGGACCTAAAAATATAATAATTGGATTAAAAATCACAGGTTAGGTTTAATGGCAGATACTATATAGCTAAAGAGAAAATTAGTGGACTTGAAGACAGACCAAAAAAATTATCCAAAATGCAATATGAAGATACACAATGTTGCCAGATGTGGTAATTTATGCCCTTAATCCCAATGACTAAGGAGACTGAGGCAAGAGGATCACAAGTTTGACCAAAAAAAAAAAAAAAAGACAAAATGTTCCCTAAAACATAAAAAGGGACTTGGAAAATATAGTAAAGTATATCTAGTAGGAGTTTCTAAAAAAGATGGAGAGAAAAGGGGAGGGGCATTATTTGAAGAGAAAATAGTTAAAAATAGTTTAAAAATTTCTCAAAGAAACAACAGCAATTCTCAGACTCAAAAATCCCAACAAAGATGATAAAAAGAAATTCACATTTATTTACATCATGCTAACATTGCAAAACACCTAAGAAATAAAAGCTCTTTAAAAGCAACCAGAGTCCATATCATATAGATAAAATATGGGTGATAGGTTTGTCATTTCATTGTACTATTTTCTCTACTTTTTATCTATATTTGAAGGTTTTCAAAATTTAAAAAAAATTAAGAAGGGGGAAGTGAAAGTGAAAAAAGAAAAACAGATTATCTAAAACAAAATAATGAGTAGTACTGACAGGTTATTTCTTGATGATGATGAAATCAGGAAAAATGGCTTCAAAGTGCTAAGAGAAAATAACCAGCAAAAATATCCCCTAAAGACCAAACAAAGGCAGGGAAATAAAGCCATTTTAATGTATACAGTAGGTGATAAAGTTTGCCAAGGACATGGCTGCACTAATGGGAATTCTAAAGAAAGAATGTTAGAAGATAAGGGATCACAGATGTTAAGTCCTAAGATTTGAGAAGGAAAGATGGTGAAAACAGTGATGAACATATGAGAAATCAACTGTAGAGAACAACAATAACAATATTCAGAGGGTTTAAAACAAAGAACTAGGGGCTGGGGATGTGGCTCAAGCGGTAGCGCGCTCGCCTGGAATGCGTGCGGCCCGGGTTCGATCCTCAGCACCACATACAAACAAAGATGTTGTGTCCGCCGAAAACTAAAAAAATAAATATTAAAAAAAAAAAAAATTCTCTCTTAAAAAAAAAAAAAAAAACCCAAAGGACTAAAATATGTAACTATATAGAACAAAGGTCAGGGTGTCCTCAGAATCAGGTTTTATATTATTCTGGGGGAGAACAAAGAGTTTCATTAACTTTATATTTTACCAAGTTATGATTTTTATATTTGCTAGGAACATTATTTAAAAAGTTAGATGTTATGCATAATTTCTAAATTAGTATAAGAAAAAATGGAATGGGGGGAAGTCAATCTATAGAAGGCATGAAAAAGGAGAGAAAAAAAGGAACAGAGAAGATGGGGCAAATAGCACATTCTAGAAAAATGAGTACCAATGCATCAAAAAATACAATAAATGTAAATGGATAAAATTCTTGGGTTAAAAGACTGTTAGAATGGATAAACAAACAAAATATATTATGCTGTTTACAAAAAAATGTATCTAATCCTAAAACTACAGAAAGATTGATAGTAAAAGGATATAAAAAGGTACACCAGGCAAATGTCAACCAAAAAAATGTTGGATGATCTTCATTTACAGATGACAAATTGGGCTAAGAAGTTGTAAGATGCAGCAATAAGCAGAGTATCAAACTCAGCTCTGATTCTTACACCAGGATTTTATACCAGGCAGTCCCATACTTTCTTCTCTTTTTAAAACTTTTATGTATCATATGCACTGCTTCATTGCAGAAAATATACCAAATAAGGAGGAAAAAAAACATAATTCTGTCATCCAGAGGTGATAGCTGTTAAACTAGTAGTTTGGAAGGTCACAGTAGATAAGGGCTGCAGTAGCCTGGCAAGAATCACTGGATGTCTACTTAAAATACTGATTCTAGCACCCAACCCAGAGATCCCAATTCATTAAGTTTAGGTGGGTTCTAGACATGTGAACTTTTTAAAAGGTCCCAAATGGTTTTTATGGGAAGCCAAATTTGGAAATAAATGTCCTTGACATGCACTATCCCATACAATTGTCACTAACCACATGTGACTAAAGATATTTAAGTTCATTAAAAGTAAATGAAATTGAGCCGGGGCAGTGGTGCACACCTGTACTCTCAGTGACTCAGGAGGCTGAGGCAGGAGGATTGCAAGTTCCAAGCCAGCCTCAGCAAAAGCGAGGCCTTAAGCAACTCGGTGAGGCCCTGTCTCTAAATAAAATACAAAATAGGGGCTAGGGATGTGGCTCAGTGGTTGAGTGCCCCTGAGTTCAATCCCTGGTACCATAAAAAAAAATTAAAAATTCAAAAAATTAAATGAAATTGAAAACTCAATTTCTCAGTTGCAATAGATACATTTCAAATACACAAAGCCCAGTGGTTAGTGGCTACTGTATCAGAAAACACAGATAGAAAACATCTCCATTGGGCTGGGGTTGTAGCTCAGTGGTAGAGCGCCAGCTTAGCATGTGTGAGGCACTGGGTTCAATTCTCAGCACCACATATAAATAAATAAAAAAATAAAGGCCCATCATCAACTAAAAAAATAATTTTTAAAAAAGAAAACATTACTATCAGCACAGGAAGTTCTATTTGACAGAAAATAAGCTCTAAGAAAGGCAGGGATTACTTTTTTTTTTTTTTTTTTTGGTATTAGGGATTGAACCCAGAGGTGATTCGCCACTGAGATACATCCCCAACCCTTTTTATTTATTTTAAGGTAGGGTCTCACTAAGTTGCTTAGGGCCTTACTAAATTGCTGAGACTGGCCTTGAACTTCTGATCTTCCCATCTCAGCCTCCTGAGTTGCTGGGATTATGGCATGCGCCACTAAGCCTGGACATAGTACCAAATCAAAGTTACATACATGATTCTGGTCTATTTCCTTCTAGTCTTTTCTCCATTTGCTGCTCATTTTCATGTATGAAACTAAAGAGGGATTCCAAAACATTCTCTACATACAAACTACCACCCTCCAGGAGGCAGAAGAGCTCTATCAGTCACTGGTTTTGGCCAAGTGTCCTGGCCAGGTGGATCCTAAAGATCCTACTTACCACCTCTTGGTTTACATAGAGGCAACTCCATACTCTCTTCTCTTCCAAAGACCCTGAAAGGCAGCCCTCACCTCGAATGTTGGTTTCAAACACGGAGGCATTCACGTCTATATCAAAGTCCACATTGTCCTGGAGCACTTCAACCACTCTTTGAAATTCGGAGACATTCCCCAAAATCTGGAAGGAAACAGAAACTTGATCATGAGACTCTCTCAGGTATGAAGGCATTGAAGATGCTAGATTCAGAATTTGGGATCTTTTTCCCTCCCTCCCTCTCTTTCTTTCTTTCATTTTTGGTACCAGGGATTAAACCCAGGGGTGCTTAACCACTGAGCCATACCCCCAGTCCTTTATATTTTTTATTTTGAGACAGAATCTCGCTAAGTTGCTAAGGGCATTGCTAAGTTGCTGAGGCTGGTCTCAAACTTGTGATCCTTCTACCTCAGCCTCTCAACCTGCTGGAATTAAAGGCACGTGTCACCAGACCTAGCCAAAATTTGGGATCTTATGCTGGTGTGGCCCTTGCTTATTCAATTAAGACCTCCAGTTTCTGTCCTAAGTCTGGTGACAGAGTAAAGAACAATGAGAGCTAGAAATCACCCAGAAATCTAATATTGAGAGACCAGTTAAGTAAATTCCCAGGTACCAATTCAAGAGCCATTAGATATCCACTTAAATAGATACAACATAAAGAATGCAGATTTAGCAAGGAAGCCTTAGCCTGACAACTGCAGTATGCATCTGTTTTGAACCCTCTCTTGTCACATGCAACCTCGAGGAAAACATTACAGGTTGGTCCCCAAACTTCTCTACCTCCGGAGAAGTTGAAACTCAAGATGCTCACTTTCTCAGCCTCCTTTGCCACTAGAGGTGACTATACTATCCAGTCAGTTCTGACCCTTACAGAGTCCACTGGGGGCATCTTTGAGAAAGCTTGTTTTCTTAATAATAATAGGCAGTCACAGCTGGCATGGCTCTCACTCTGCCTCTGTCTTGAAAGCAGAGATTTCTGGAGACATGGCAGCTAGAGTCCATCCTGAGGCACAGAGTATGAGAATGAAAGCCAATAAATGAATGATGGTAAAGTGGAAAGCTATAGAGAGCCTGGATCTCTAACAATATAGTTGGGTGGCTGACCCAATGCTAGAAATTGCCCCCAGACTTCCTTTTACTTCTTTCTTTAACCCAACAGCCAAATGCAATCTTGGAACCTTTTATTCTGATAACAATATCCTGATTTTCCCTTAAAGAATTACTCCTGGGGCTGGGGATGTGGCTCAAGTGGTAGCACGCTCGCCTGGCATGCACGGGGCCCTAGGTTGATCCTCAGCACCACATAAAAATAAAATAAAGAAAACTAAAAAATAAATATTAAAAAACTAAAAAATAAATATTAAAAAAGTCTCTCTCTCTCTCTCTCTCTCTCTCTTAAAAAAAAAAAAAAAGATTACTCCTCTCCCACAGTCACTCCTGTGGTGTGGGAGAGACTGACCCCATGTCCCCAGCTGTGGAGTGGGTAGGTACCTGACTTGGGCCAGCCACATCACCATATCCCTTAGCAAGGCGATTGGTTCAGTGACCGAAGGTGATCTAAACCAGCTGAATAAACTCTCAGTCCCTAGAATTCATGGGAGAGGGTTCTTTCCACACAGTTTCCTAACTGAGTGGGATGTGAGTGGAGCTATCCTGCCAGCTTACAGAGAACCTGGAAACACAACAGCAAAGAAGGCAGAGATGAGAGATGGAAAAAGAGACTCCTAATGACATCATTTTCATGTCTGGGTCCACCTGGGTCTGAGGCCAGGGTGTATCTGGACTTTACAGTTTAAATCAGTCTGAATCGGGTTTCTGTCACTTGCAAACAAAACACTCCTGACCATCCCAGCATTCAAGATCGTCTGTGATTTGGACCCAGCCTTCTTTCTGATCACATCTCTCACAGCTCATCTTCATATAGCCTGCCTTATCTACTTCAGTAAAACTGTACCAACTGTTTCTCGACTTCTTGACTTCAGACATGCTGTTCCCTCTGCAAAAAATCACTTGCTTCTATATCATCCCATTTCTAAGTCCAACCTATCTCTACTTGTCTAAATGTCTTTAGGAAGTCTTTAATTCCTCCTCTAACTTCTCCTTCCTTTAAAAGATCCCAAGCACTTTATCCACCCAACTCTTAGGGCATCTATTTATTTACACATGAATAAAATATTTGCATGGGCAAAAGAGTCATTCATTCCTGAATCTCCCCACAGCGTCAAACACAGCTCATGATGCAATTACTTGACAAATGTTTGTCATATTGCAGTCAGTGATCTCAAGGCAGAAATCTCACCACTTCCTGCCTTCTACTTAAGAAATTCCATGAGCTTACCCTTGCTCTCAAATTAAAGATCAAAATCCTTAACACGGTGAAGAAAACTTTGCACCCTCTGGTCTCCATCTGTCCCTCCAGCTTCACTTTATTTCCTCCTTTTCCTCTCCACACCTCAGCCCTACTAGCCTTCCTTCAATTCACTGTACTTGCCATGCTCTCTCCTGCCACAAGGCCTTTGCACAGAGTATTCCCTCCATCTAGAACACTCTTCCTCTCCCACTCCCCCAGCCAATACCTGCTCCTGCTTCACATCTCAACCAAGTGTCATCTCACTTGCTCAGGGAAGTTCTCCCAACCACCTCAATCTAGGTCATGTTATTTTGTTATGATCACTCATAGAACTGTGCACCTTTCCTATAGAACACTCACCTTAATTTGTAATTATACATTCTTTAAAGGTATTCTTTGATTTTTTTGTTTCCCTTGCTAACATCACAAACACTAGGGACACAGGGGCTATGTGTGTTTAACATCACCAGGATAACTCCAGAGTTCAGCACTGTGCTGGGTACACCACTGGCCCTCAGTAAATAGTTCATAAATGGATAAGCACATAAATTAACATTAAGTGAAAAAATAAGTTAAATTACATCTATGTAGAGTTCACAATCACATAAATACTCAGTATATAAAAATAAGAAAGGTGACAGAGAACCAGAAATAATGATATAGGGGGAAAATTATTAAATCCTTTTTTGTGGCCTTTTTATTTTTTATTTTTTTGTTACTAGGGATTGAACTCAAGGCATTTTACTATTGAGCTACATCCCCAGTTCTTTTTACTCTTTTGAGGCAGGGTCTCGTTAAGTTGTGTAAGGCTGGGCTGGGGTTGTGACTCAGAGGTAGAGTGCTCGCCTAGCATGCGTGAGTACTTTACATGAATTACCTTGGTTAATCCTTTAAACATCTCATGAGGTAAGCACTTTTACTCCTTACAGAGGTAGAGTGCTCACCTAATGTGAGGGCTGTCAGCAAGTGTGAGGCACTGGGTTTGATCCTCAACACCACATAAAGTAAAATAAAGACATTGTGTCCACCTATAACTAAAAACTAAATATTAAAAAAAAAAAGTTGTTTAGGGCTTTGCTACATTGCTGAGGCTGGCCTCGAACTTGGAATCCTCCAGCCTCAGCCTCCTGAGCTGCTGGGATTATAGGCATGTGCCATCACACCTGGCTTCTTGTAGCCTTTTGAAAGGAAGAGATAGTCAAATCTTGGAGTTATAAAGAATCAAGACCTAGCTCTGCTTTTCAATAGTTGAATATCCTGCGCAAGTCATTTTACTTTTTTTTTAACGATATCTTTATTTTATTTTATATGGTGTTGAGGATCAAACCCAGTGCCTCATACTTGCTGACAGCCCTCATATTAGGTGAGCACTCTACCTCTGTAAGGAGTAAAAGTGCTTATCTCATGAGGTGTTGAAAGGATTAACCAAGGTAATTCATGTAAGGTACTCAGCATAAGCCCTACACATAGCACAGTAACTAGTTTCTGTTATTACCTTACTATCATTGGACATGGCTGATGAATGTAAACTTCTAAAAACAAGCAGAATGTCAAGGTCTTGTATTCCTCACAGAGTTATACAAGCCTATCATAGGCCCCTATACATCATAGACCCTCTATAAATGTTTGGTAAATAAATGAACCTGAATAAATTGGAACTCATTCCCTCCATTCTACGTGTGTAGCCAGAGTCTGATAACTCAGAATCAGAAATGAACAGTCCAGGAGAGGAAGTCACTTTTTACCAACAGCCAAAAGAGGAAGGAAATTGGTTGTGCAATGGCGAAGAGGAACACAAATAGACAAGATACTTACCAGCAAGGTGTCCAGAGCATCAATTAATGTCAGAGAAAAACTGTAAAAGGCCAGAAGGAAAGAAATTCAAACACAGATATCTGGCTGTCCCAGAACAGATCCCCCCAAACTGAGTCATGGTGGTACCTCTGCCTATCTCACTTACAACAGGGAAAATTGCTAGGATCCTCAATCTTCTGAATGCATGAAAGAACGTGCTGACATAGCTCAACTGTAATTAAACATCTCCAATATTTTCTGACATTCTTGACTACAATGGGGAGGCAGTATAGGATTGCACCTGAAACCACAGGGTTTTCAGCAATTCTGCATCTAGGAGTTCCCCTCACCCTGGCCCCAGTGTACATAGGTGTTTAAGAATGTTCATGACAGTACTGTTTAGCACAGTGAAAGGCCAGAGAGAACTCAAGGTCCACCAGTTGAAGAGTGATGAATTAAACTATGGTACAGGGGCTGGGGGAATGGTTCAGTTGGTAGAGTGCTTGTCTCGCAAGCACAAGGCCCTGGGTTCAATCCCCACCACCAAAAATAAATAAATAAACAAACAAACAAACTGTGGTACAAACAGTACAAAAGTATGAAGTTATCAAAAAGATAAACTAGGAGGTCTATGTGCCAATAAAAAGATACTCAGTGTTGTTAAATAAAAAAGACAATGTACACAACTAGTGTTATAGTATGATTCCATCTGCATTTCAAAATGATGTACTAATAAAAAGCAGATTAGCTGTTGTTGGGGTCAGTGATAGTAGAGGGATTAACTACAAAGGGACACAAGGTAACTTTCTGGGATGACAGCAGCATTCTGTATCTTGACTGTGATGGTGGTTACTACACACTTAAAATGGAGGTGTCCTATTACATGGAAAATACACCATTCAAAAGTTAATTGTAGGGACCAGGACTTTAGCTCAGTGGTAAAGTGCTTGCCTCACATGTGTGAGGCACTGGGTTCGATCCTCAGCACCCCATGAAAATAAATAAAGACATTGTGTGTTCATCTATAACTAAATATTTTTTAAAGCTAATTCTAAAAAGATACACATGTACACATAAACCAAGAATATTTCTGGAAGGATATACAGGAAAGAAACTGTGGTTGGAGTTCTAAAGTATGAGAGATATTTATTGTTTATGATTTCGTACTTCTTGAATTACTCATTCGTTTGTATTTTCTATGTTCCAACTAAAAAGTGAAAATCAGCACAATTTCTGAGTTTATTAACTTCTCTAGTCCTTAGCATAGGAGGGGATGTTATCATTTATAAGTATTTGTAAAACAGGATAACAGCATCTAACTCCTAGGAGTATTAAGAGAATTAAATAAGATGACACAGTAAAATGCTTAGCACAGTGTTCGATCAATGTCAGCTTCAGTTAATGCAACAATTCCTCATTCAGCAAGGAACAAGACAGAGAATTCCAGCTCTCAATAGATTTTTATTCTAGTGGAAATGATAAAGACAGACGAGTAGACAAGTGAAAATGACAGTATCAGAGCAGTGCTACAAAGAAAATAGGTGATTTGTAAGAATGTCTTGAACTGGGAGTGGTTAGGGAAGCTGATGTTAAGGAGGTGACATATGGAGCTACACTATCAATGACAAGAAACAGTGATATGAGGAAAATGGGAAAGTATGTTTCAGTTATTAGAGAGCATCAAATACAGAGGCTGTTAAGTTTTGAGAGACCCACATCCTTTTCTAGACCTGTTTGTCCACCTATAATAAGGGGTTGGGTTTTTTGACTCTTAGAACCCTTCTCCAATATCCTATGACTCCAGAAATTTGCCAGAGTCCTCGAGTCCTCGTAGCTGGTGCCTGCTACCGCTCAGGCTGGGTCCACAGGTCAGGCCTGGCCTGCTGGGGCTAATCCAGGACGTTTCTGCGCTGCTAGAGGTGCTGGTCTGCATTGTGGGGAGTGCAGCCCGGCTGGGAGCTTTCAAGAACCGGTGAAGAGATCATGAAGCCACCAGACCCAGCTGACCCGCCCGCAGGGGACCGGGACTGTCAAACCACGGCCGCCCCCGTGCCCCTCCGCTGGCACTACCTGCCCCAGGTGTCGTGTCCGTCACAGGTGAGAGGTCGCAGCTCGTCGTAGGGAAAGGCATTTTCCAGGTAACTGTCGTAGGCGTGGTAGAACATGGCCTTGACTCGCTCCCTGGTGGCGGGGACCAGAAATAAGGTAGTGGGGTTGGAACAAAAAAGGCGAGAAAAGGGACAAGAAATAGGGCAGGAAGTGGAAATCACTAGCTGATTTCTACCGAAGGCCCACCTAGAGGACCCAAGCAAGTCAGGGTAGGGGTCCTGGGATGGAAGGAACGGGAAGGGACACAGTGCGCGCTTCCCATTCCCCTACTATGGAAGGCGAGATCCTGGCCCCCCTCACCTGTAGTGAGCGGAGTCGGGCACAGTGCCGTCGGGGCCTGGCGCACCATAGTGCAGGGGCAGCAGCGTGCACAGGAGGCCAAGCGGGATGAGCAGCCGGAAAGGCATAGAGCTCCTGTCCTGTCAGTGCCGCCGCAGCAGCTGCAGCCACCGCCACCAGCTCATCCTAGGAGCTGCTTCTGGCGCTTCCGGGTATCAGCGCCACTACGCCTGCGCGCTGGGAAATCAGCCACTCATTTCCGAACTACAAGCCCCAGAATGCAATGGTGGCGGAACCTAGGCAAAGAGCATCTTGGGATATATAGTCTCTGAAGCAGAAAGCAACGTGTCTTCAAGACAGTGGCTGCTGTTGCTACTGTTATCAGTTAATGTCTTAATACTACCAGTTAGCGTTTGTTGAGCACTTATTTTGTACTAAACCTGAATAAAGCCATTTAAAAGCATGATCTTGGGTGTTTGTTTGTTTGTTTTTCCAACCATCTTATTAAGCATGAGGGCAGGGACCAGCAAGAATTCAGCATTTGTTAAGTGGACATATGTAAAGATTGATGAAAAATGTTCAGCTTTGATCATTTTTAGAGATATTTAGTTTCCCCAACCAGTTCCCTGATTATGTAAATAATAACTTGCAATTATTTGTCCAAAGCTGGCACGTTTGAGGCTTCCTGAAATCCTTTCAGTTCTAGGAATTCATGACATTCTTTTTCCACTTTGGGATATGGTCATATCATTATGGTCTCCTCAATCTCCTTCCCATCCCAGAAATTAGCCCCTCCAAATACCCTGGACTAGTTCAGTGACTGCAGCCCTATAGTATTCCAGGTGAGAATGAAGACCCTGGGCACTACAGCTTTCAAAAAGTTTTGAGACCCATTTTTCCCATCTCCCTTCTTGCAATTTTCTAGAGTTTGGTCAGCACTTAGGTCATGGCAATACCCTTAAATACCCTTCCATAGTAGGGGTGATGTGCATTAGAGCCAACCCTGATTTGAAATCAGAACTGGGCTTCAATTACAACTCTATCATTCATATACAACCTCTTTCAACTTAAGCTTTCAGTTTGGGTTGGGGGTAACTGGAGATTGAAATCAAAGGTATTCAACCACTTAGCCACATACCAGTCCTAGAATTGGCCATCCTCTTCTTGCTGAAAGTCAGATGCATGCGGCAGCTCAGTTTCTTGAGAGGAGTGAAGGCAGGCTTGGTCTTCCTTGGTCTAACATCTTTAAAAATATCTCTGAGTCCTGAAATGTCATCAACTGATATCAGAATTGAATCCTGACCTAACCCTGAGATATAGAGGGAGTATAGTGTAATGTAGAAGGTGAAATTATGAGCTTTAGATTCAGGTAGACCTACTAGGTGTGTAATTTTATCAGTTCTTCTCTGAGCTTTATTTTTTTCTTAGCTGTCAATTAGGCATAATATCAATATACACTTAAAAAGGATTGTGAGGATTCCGCGGGCTGTTACATCTAAAGTGCTGATAGAGGAGCCACTCAGTGAATATTAGGATGTTTTTGGAAACTCTTCTTGGAGGTGTCAGATGGAAGCGAAAGGAGACCATAATAAGCTGAGACCTGGATAATAACACAGGAACACTGTATGAGTTTTCTGTGATGCTGTAACAAATTACCACCAACTTGATGACTTAAAACAACATAAATTTTATTGTCTGAGTTCTGGAGTCCAGAGGTCTGAAATCAGTTTCACTAGACAAATTAAGTCTTTGGCAAGGCTATGCTCCCTCCATAGTTTCAAGGGGAAAAATCCATTCCTTACCTCTCCAGATCCTCCTAACTGCTGGCCTCCCTCAGTTTGTGGCTGTGTCACTTCAGTATCTGCCTCTGTCTTCATATCATCTCCTCCTTTTTGAATGTGTGTCACATCTCCCTCGGCTTCTTTTACGTGAGGACACTTTTAATTGCATTGGGACCCACCTGGATAACATAGGATAATCTCCCATCTCAAGATTCTTAACTCAATGACACCTTCAAAGTACAGTAATGTTTACAGGTTCCAGAGACTAGGACTTAGATTTTTAAAGGGCTATTTTTCAGCTTAGTATAATCACTAAGTATTTTTCAGATCTGGGCCTTTTTATGTTATGAAGTTTTCTCTGGCCCAGTTGTCTTGTAGTTTATCTTTTTGTCTACCAGTCAAAATTCTACTATGGAAAAAAAATTTGCAGGGAGGGTGGGGCCAGGTTGCCTGGATTTTGGTAATGATACATTTGTCTTTATGAGCAATATTGAAATATTCATAATTTTTCTTTATTTTCTTTTTCTATCTTAATGAAAATATCCATTTTCACACTGTTGCAGAACAAATAAAACCATGACTTATATTTCCATAATTAATGTGACAATTACATGGTTCTCTAATGAGGAAAAAATATTTTTACTTCTGGAAAGCATTAGGACTCCTCTTTCCCTGCTTCACCTTTTACTCTGTGTTTATGATATTAGATTCTAGAAGGCTCCCGTCTACCAATGAAGTATCAAACTTAAATATTTACTTGTGAAGAAATGCAGAGTAAGTTTCCTAACCTCTCTGAGTCTCAGTTTCATGATTTGAGATGAAAAAATTGATAAGACAAAACATATTTGGGGGTTAAATGAGATAATGGAGGTGAAAATTCTCAATACAGTGACTTGTACATGTTAAGTTCTTGGTAAATATTCGTTCTCTTCTTTTCTTCCTCTACTCCTCTTTTAAGGGTGAAGGGTATGTATTAGTTTCATCTATTAAGCATCTACCCCTAGTAATCCAAGGTATTATGGACTATAATTTCTACTCTCAAGAGATTGAACCTCAGTATTGGACATAAACCCAAGTTTCCAGAATAGTCAAGCCATACCCCTTTTCCCTTGCAATGCTTGCAATTTGGTTAGAAAGAAAAAGACATCTGTTGGAAAATACTTGAAATGGCAAAGTAGTCAAATCTTCCCATGAGTAACTGGTTTGGGTCACATTAGTGCCCCAGTTCAATGTCCTTGGACTCTGTGTTGAGTAGAGTAAGCCTTGGACTGGTGGTCAGTAGTTCTTGGTTCTGTTATTGGTTTAACCATTGATCTTGGACAAGTCATTTTCTCTTTTGCTTTTCATATCTGGAAAATGAAAAAGTGAGCCTACTTCTCAACAGATGAAAAATATTAACAGATCCAGAGTTATTGCAAAAAAACCCCCAAAAACAGAAAACAGATTTCGATGTGCATCAAATGCAGAAAACCCCCCCATCCAAAATAGCCATGTAACTGAATAAAACATAGGGCAGCATACCTTGGAATTTGACAATTAGTCAACTGAACAGGAAGGAAGGAAGAGGAGGATGAGGAGAAGGAGGACGACAGAGAGAAGGAAATAATCAAATGTATCAGTAATGAAAATATTTATTTATAAATTAATTGCTCCAGGCACTGTTCTTTGTACTTTACATGCAAAAACACCAGTAATCCTCACTACAATCTCTGAAAAAGTTTTATTATCACCTTTTTATGGGTTAAAAAAAATCAAAGCATGGATTTTAAAAGTTTAATGGAGAGGTTTATTAACTTAAGCATTGGCTCTGATACCCAATAAATAGTAGAGCCAAGATTTGGACTCAAATACTCTCTTCTCTACTGCATTAATGAAAATAATGGCCAAGTATTTAATTAAAGGTCAATATGGCATAAAATAAAAACTGGCCATCTGGTCAAATTCTACGGTGTCCTCTAGCTTTAGGTTGATATGATTCCACAAATCAACATTCCCTTCCATTTTGTTAGAAAAATGGAGGGAAAAGTTCAATTTCTTATGGTTGGAATTGAACTTTTGGTCCAATATCCTTGACTTTTAGCAGGGAAGTATCTGGGAATCCCTTTTCCAGTGTCTAGAGGTCAGTTGGGTCTAGCGCTTTCCCTCAACTCCCAGAACACAGTGTGCATACTACATATTTTTGGACTGCCAAGAAATTACAAGTTTATTCCTGGGAAAGTCTCCATCTGTTGCCTTGTAGGAATGCTTGAATTTCCCTTGTGCCCAGTATGTCCAAACATTTAGATTAATGACTCCCTGGTCCGAGCCCCAGACCATGTTTTTATAATGCTCTTGTTCTAAATTGGCTACTGGGCTGAATACTTAAAAATAGTTAAGACAATGCATTTTGCTATGCGAATTTTAAACTTTTTTTTTTTTTTGTACCAAGGACTGAACTCATGGGCACTCAACCACTGAGCCACATCCCCAGCTCTATTTTGTATTTTATTTAGAGACAGGGTCTTGCTGAGTTGCTTAGCACCTCGCTGTTGCTGCCGATAGTTTTGAACTTGCTCTACTCCTGTCTCATTCTCCAGAGCTGCTGGGATTACAGGCATGTGCCACCACACCTGGCTTAAACAAAGTTTTTTGTTTGTTTGTTTGTTTGTTTGTTTAGTGGTGCTAGGGATTGAACCCAGGGCCTGCATTATATCCCCAGCCCCAATGTTTTTTAAATTTAAAAAAGGAAAAAATATTTGGAAGGTGATCTGACAAAATTGTGGGTTTTTCCATGATGTCTACTGCCTTTTTTCGAAATATCCATTGGTTTCAAAGAAACACACACACACACACACATACACATATAGGACTGAACCCAGGGTGCTTAACCACTGAGTTGCATTCCCCAGTCCTTTTTATTTTTGAGACAGGGTCTCCCTCAGTTGCTTAGGGCCTCTATAAATTGCTGAGGCTGGCTTTGAACTTGCGCTCCACCTGCCTCAGCCTCCTGAGCCCCTGGGATTACAGGCATATGCCACTATGCCCGGAAATAAAGTTTTTTGATATGCAAAAAACATATCGTAAATTTTTATGGCAGGGCGAATATCTAGTCCAGACTTGTGGGCTTGAGTTCAGGGAAGGCTCCCTAGAGTAGGTGACCCTGAATATTCTCCAAGGAGTTAATTGGGCCAAACAAAGAGGCAAGAATCACCTCAAGGTTCTCTGCATTCCTTAGTGTGGGATGAGAGCTCCCTCACCTGCCACCTGCTTGCCTCTTCACATGAATAAAATAATGAAGCAGCATATGAAAAGCTTTAAGGAAAATAAAGGAGGTGAGCAGAGGCTCTCAGAGCCCTCAAAAATAACTTGTGATCATTGGCAGAGGCACAGAGTGTGGTGGCCATTGCTATGGACTAAACTAACAAAAACAATAGATGTCCAGATCTTTCCTAAGCAA